CATTAAAGATTGTGACCCTACTGGCTGAATGGCAATTACATTTTCAATTCATTGTCCCACCAGGTCTTGGAACCTCGAAGTTTTGTCTCTTATTGATTTGGAATGTTTGTAGAGGGGCTGTTCTATCCTGTAAGCCCTGTCGCAACCATATGAACATCAAAAAATATTGTTGAAATCTATTTAATTAGGTCGCATTTTAAATGGTGAGGAGACGTCATATATATTTCAAGAATTGGAAGCGATGACGATGAGAGAGATTGTAGTTAACCCAAGATATCCATAGGAGAATCACATATTCAGAGACGTATAGAACGAGTTAGAGATACAGATGAGGAAAGATTGTAAGTGCAATCTCCAATACAGTTCCATTTAATTTGGTAACCTCGTGTGTTTATTGCAGCATCAAAGATATATGGGTCTGATTCACTCAGCCCATGATTCTGTTTGCACTTCCCTGGCCTTGTTTCAGACTTAGAAGAGCTCCACAATGGGAATGCTGTAAACTAGAGGTTGAGCTCGGATAAAGCTCCTGAAGGATGTTATGTGCTTGTGAAGGAAATTATAGTAAGTGTGTGTCCTGTTGGATTGTATTCAGGACCATGTGAAAGGCAGTAGTGCCCTGATAGTGGAAATAATTGGTGCTGTTGCTTGGCAGGATTCTACAATAAGTATCTATAATTCCAAATGGTATTAGACAATAACAAGAACTGAGTTAACCCAAGACAACCACTATGGCGCATGAAGTAGTGTTTATGTGTGAGTGGCATAAACTCATTAACTAGAATATATGCCTTGTCCTATTCTATATCTCACTGCATTACAAGTATACACTGTTTGTCCAAGTTGTAATTCCATCATCAAACATCCAAATGATCTTACTCCACCGAGTCATGCGGTACGCTCCTTCCTCGCCCTCAGGTTATCTACCTGCCCTGTGTGCCTACAACATTCATCTTTTATAGAGTCCTGAGGGCCATCTCTCAGCTGTCTTACTTCTCTGCAGCCTGTTCGTTCTCCCAGACACTTTCTCCTGCCCTTTCAGTCTGGGCACCAGTTTTACTCCAACAAGAATTGCTACGTGTTTTCAATAAAACCACTTAGACACTTATTGCACAATTATGAAATCAGCACTGCTTTGAGTTTTTGGGAGCACTTAGGTTAAATAACAGTAAAACACAAATGAGACCATTACATATAGAGAGAATTTAGGAGCTCCTTTGCAGGCCTGGTATGGCATGCACTCCATTTTTAATTTAACGACTTCCCAGGTGTTACTGGTAGTAAAAAGAGCAGAGACCATCTAAATGGCAAGAGTATTCATATCCTCGCTCGCGCCTCCCGCCTCCACCCCACTTCTGTCTCTATGATTAGTACACCATTATCATTAATAGAATAATAACTGTGGTCCATGTGAGGCCGTTATATTGACCGTAAGGTATTATACCCATGGTGACAAGACATTGGAATCCTCTGATGTAATAAGCACTCAAAATATTAATGATCCTGGGTTATTAATTGAATTCTTACCAGTCTTTTCAATATCATGTACACAATTAAATGAGGCGATAAGACGAATACAGCTTTGCAAAAAAGCGTATAAAGAAGACTAATTATCTGATTTTTATATGGAAGACGATCCAATTTATTACTTTATACCACAACTATTAAATCTTACAATGTCACATCTGACCTTCCCATACCAAAACGTCATACTTGTTTTCAACCCCCCAACCTCAACCCATCCTTACCTCATCCATAACCGTCTCGATCGACATATAGGCTGTTAATACACCTGATGCGATATCAAAAATTATATTCCCCAATACATAAAGAACACCAGTAAACACACAAATGCAGCTAGTAATGACTATAGCATGCTGATTGTATATAAGATAGCCTATATGAAGTTTAGGCAGATTATCTAAACCAAATACCCCTTATCTGAGAACTATACCTATTGATTGAATGTGGAGTGCTGGAGGAAGGTAGATACGGTCACAAGAGTATGACAGGAATCCTGGAGAAGGACGATTCTATATATGTGTGTCCAACCTAAACCTGGTGCACGTAGCTATGCTCATGTTTGGCAATAATAGTTATTGAGACATTCATTCAAAACCACAAATGTGTAACCGTGGAATTTTACTACATCGTAGTGTAACTCAACATTTTGGATAACATAACACTTTAGACGCCCGTCACGCCCACATTTACCAATTGTATGATGATGAACCATAGATAAGATAGAGAACGAAATCTTAATTTAAATCCAAGCGAAGTCCGTATTAATTGCTCGGTGACTGCATTTGTTGTCCGAAAATAAGGTGAGCCGAAGAGAGAGAGACGCTTAAATACAACATTGCCAAGAAAACCACTGGACTTTCGAATGTGTTGCAGGAAGATCTAATTCGTGGGCAAGCAACCAAAATAGTCGCTCCTCCCTCCTCTTATATCATGTCGGAGCTAGGCACATCGATTGGCAAGGGTGTACCCTGCAGTCATATCCGCAGACCTTACTAGCCTTTATAAAAATTGCAAGGTGTCAGAACTATGTGCACAGCAAGAATATCTTACGAGAAGATTGTATTTTGTCCCATTGCAGACGCCTCTCCTAAGCGAGGCCCCGCCTGGTGAAACATAATGGAATAAGAGAGAGAAAATAAGTATTATGTCTAAGTGCTAACGATGTATGTTTCTATCTGTGTCATCCTAGAAAGAATAAATGGTGAATAAACATAGCTGGGCCACTCTCCAGTCTTCTAACACGAACGGAAGATTGAGTGATGGAGTCTGTATGAAAGCAGAAAGTGCACGTACAACGTGTGTCTCTGGCGAGAGACTACAACCCTGTTTATATAATAGAATTCTGCGCTCAGAACAACAATCCTGGATTCGTGGTCGAATTGAGCACAATAATACTGGAACATTTCACACTTAACTTTTAACTAACTCGCTATCACATCCATCAATAGAAACTACAAATGTTCCCTTTGTCTGTGGCTCCCAACACTATTCGCAGTTCCACATAAACTGTTCAATTAACCATCTAATCTACCTATTGAGCTAATAGGCATGAAGGAGAAGCAATGATACCACACCACCACACTGGAGCTCGATTGTATCCTCAATGGGTATCCTAGTTATTATCCGTACAAGTGATATGAGAATGACCATCCAAGAAAAAGGCGGATCTACTATCGTGCCCTGGTCATTCCTATGTTGCGCAATCCAAAATCAGGTGAGGTCATAAGTTGAACCCATACAAAGATATGAAGAGAGAAAGGAGCGAGAGAAATCTCATTTGCTGGTCATTGTCTCTAGCTTATAATTCCCTGCCGAGGTCGCTGCTTGTCTAAGTAAGAGATGTCGCCTACCTGCAATTATTTCACCTACTGCTCACCTCCTGCCTTCTCCCTCGCACATCTTCGCCCGCACTATAACCCCATTACGATTGTAAGTCCTAGTCATCGATTCAAGCCAGGTGATGAAGATGAAATTGCCCCCTCGCATCCACCTCCTCCCTCCACCCACCCCGAACTGGTTAACATCTGGTCCTTCCTGTGGTGTTTCCGTGGTTGAAGGAACAAAGAAATTATGTCTTCGTAATATATCTCAGTGAAAGGAACGAAGGGAGCGTCCCGCGAGCGCGCGAAGACCTCTGAGAGAACTCAGACAAGAGCACCTGGAGAAAGGAGCAGGAGCGACGGCACACCAGAATGAGGCCGGACCTCAAGGTGGTGAAGATATGAGAGCGAGAGTATATAAGAGAGAGATGGTTATAAGTGTCCTGTCTTGGAATGTGTGGATTTACAGCAGCAGGATAAAGTCGCATCGGTATGCTGTGGTGAGGTAAAAGCGTACATGTCTATTCTCTATGCGCGAAGAGAAGTGGAGAGAGAGAATGAGGATTGTATGAGATGTGATACCCTACGGCCAAAGCGACACCCACAGGGTTCATTTAGAGACACTGAGAGAACGAGGCAGTAGGCGAGAACATACGGAAGAAGAGAAGTTGTGGTAGCATCCACTATAACACGAGAGGAAACAAAAGAATGGCACCAGAGCCTAATTGCAATGTTTTTACGAAAATTAAATGGATCGGATTGGTCTGTGTGATTAATCAGATTTCAGAAGTTGAAAGGCAAGTAAAGTCATGGTAAATTAGTGCAGTGGATTAAAGAGGCCATCAGGTTTCTGAGTAAAGGTGAAAGCCAGTTGAAGTCAGAGGTCAATGGAAAAGACTAACACTTGTTTCCCAATGAGCCCCACTCAAGGCCACAAATAGATGTGCTAATCGGCTGGTTTAAGGTGCCTGGATAAAAATGTATTAAGAACCATTTGCTTCCTATTATGTGCTAACTCTTTTAAAAATGTGGTATTTTCTCTTAATTGTACTTTATATTTAATTTTCACACAGAAATAGAAAGAAAAAAATGATAACCAAACAAAGTGGTCCAAATCAATCAGTCAACACCCACAGTCATGACCGTATTCCAGACATAACTGGTCCTGGAAAACACGTTTGAATGAACGTGATTTAAGTCTCTCAGGTTTGATTTTTTCTGCAGCGTGCAACAGAAATACAATTCAGAGGTCGTTTCAGGGAGGAAAAGGATTAATGATGTTTTGGCTTCTTAGCAACCTCACTGTCCTGATAGGCTCGATGATAACGCGAGATTAGAGCCTCCGGCGCAAAGCGAATAGGTGAAATATTTGGTAGCCCCGCAAATGAACCCCAGCTGTCGACTGTGATGAGCGGCTAATGTGCATTTATACTAATAGCTAATGTACCCTGTTGCCTTACAAACTTCCCACTTCGAGCACCAGTGCACAACATTTCCTTTTTCGTCACGTTATGTAAAGAATAATGCCCGTGACCAAGTGTCCATTCGCGAATGTA